AAAAAAAAAAAAAAAAAAAAAAAAAAAAAAAAAAATTAATAATTGGATAAATTATTTGATATGGGCATAAAACTGAAGTAAACTAAAAGCAGTTAAGAAATTTCAATTAAAAAACACTACATCCTTAATTAGTCGGTAAATCTTTCACTCCCCCAGTAAAAAATCAGCTTCAATTTACCTTCTCAAGTCATGATTACGAGGCTGACTGATGCTAACTAAATAAATTCTACCTCAAAAGTATTTCACTGGGAAACTGGAATTTCAGATAAAAATATAATCAAACAATAGATGGTTAACACATTACAGTAAAGGCCAAGGCAGGAGACAGAGAACTTACCTCTCCATAGATTCTAAATGTGCCGGTATCTTCATCTAGCTCGATGGCGGTAACTCCGGGAACCTTCCTAGCTTGCTGAATGTTACTACCATGTGTTCCTATTGCCAGGCCCATTAAATCTTCTCTCACAACAAATTCCTCATGAAAAGCTGCTGCAAGTTGTTTTGTGCACTAATAAAACAGGAAAATTAGAATATAAAAGATCAAAATACAAACTGTTTTTTTGTTTGGTGTTTTGAGACATGCTCTCGCAATGTCACCAAGGCTGGGGGTGCAGTGGTGTGATGGTGGCTCCCTGCCGCCTCAATTTCCTGGGCTCAAGCAATCTTCCCACTTCAGCCTCCAATATAGGCACACACCACTGAGACCAGCTAATTATTTTTTGTAGAGATGAGGTCTCACTATGTTACCTAGGCTTGTCTCGAACTCCTGGACTAAAGCAATCCTCCCACCTCAGACTCCTAAAGTGCTGGTATTATAGGCATGAGCCACCACACATGGCCACAAAACGTTTTATTGCACATCCATGTTTATAGCATTATAAACAGGTGAAAGAACCCAGATCTACAGGCCAATGAATGAATAAACACAATGTGATATAATATACATTCTGCCTTAAAAATGAAATTCTGACACAGGCTATGTAAATGAACCTTGATGCTAAGTTAAATATGCCAGTCACAAAAAAGACTAAAATGCTTTTACTTACATGAGGTATCTAAAATAGTCAAATTTATAGCAACAGAAAGTAGAATGATGGTCGCCAGGGGCTGGGGAAAGGAGAAAATGAGCAGCTGTCTAAAAGGTATAGATTTTCAGTTTTACAAGATGAGAAGTCCTGAAGATTTATCAATAATGTAAAATATACTTAATACTAAGTGTACACCTAAAAATGGCTATGATGCTAAGTTTTATATGTGCTTTATCATAGTGTAAAGAAAAACCTGAGAAGAAAAAACCCACAAAAATTAAGTTAAAAAAAAGGCCAAAACTCAATCTCTTAAAAAATAAATGAAAGTCATCTAATGTCATAAAACGAATGGGAAAAAAAACTGTTTTATTAGTCTAAAACATTTTTCCAGATATAGGCACACATGTCCAGAACTTTTAATGAGAACACTTCCAAATTTGTCCTAAGGATAATAAACATATCCCAGTTTCTCTAAGACAACACAGTGCATGCATGCACATGTATTCATCCAGATCTAGAGAGAGTGGGTGAGTGGAAAAACCACCACCCTAGCAGTGTAGCAGGGAGAAGAGGACAAAACAGTACCCCAGGACACGTCAGAGGTGTAATGACAAGCTTAGTATTTTAGTACTACATGCCACATGATGCCCCACTCCTAGTCCTCCTCTCCTCTCACACGAGAGTCGTTACAATCAACTAGTTAATGATGAAAGATATCAGGACTGATAAACAGGGCAGTTAAAAAAAATAAAAAGGTTAAATACACAGTAAAGAACTAGCAATACAGTCTACTCAGTATCTCTAGTTTCTTCACTATTTGTTACCTGTCATCTAAGCCCTACCAACAAGTTAACAGGCATTTAGCAAAGGAAAGGCTACATTTGATAAAAGGCAACAACATGGAAAAGTAATTCTTCTAAAGGCACGACAACTCTAAATAGTCGTGAAACAGAGGTCCTAGGTGGCCTTAGTTTGAAGCAAGGAACTTGAAAAATATACTTATAAAACTAAATGGGGGCTAGGCACAGGGGCTCATGCCTATAACCACAGCACTTTGGGAGGCCAAGGTAGGTGATCACGTGAGGCCAGGAGTTAGAGAGCAGCCTGGCCAACATGACAACATCCCGTCTCCCAAAATACAAAAATTAGTTGGGCTTGGTGCTACACACCTGTAATCCCAGCTACATGGAAGCAGGCAAGAGAACTGCTTGAACAAGGGAGGCAGAGGTTGTAGTAAGCCAAGATCATGCCACTGCACTCTGGGTGACAGAGCCAGAATGTGTCTCTAAAACACAAACAAACAAAAACTCAATAGGACACACAGAATTCTTTCGTAGGTAAACCCACTTACTTCTAAATGCTTAGTGGCCTCTTCATTTCTGGACATAAGCATCAACTTTGTACGAATACTTCGCAAATGCATGTCACTTAAGATATTTACTCTCTTCACAGTTGCTTCGCTGGCAGACTATAAACAAACAAGCTAATTACTCAAAACTTTAATCATTCTTCCAAATAGTACAAATACCATCTTCTATACAAAGCGTTCCTTGCTTCTCATCTACTCTACTTCTCCTTTCAACTAACATTCGGTACTCTGAGTAATCACATTTTCCTTTCTGAATTCCTGTATTATTTAGATCTGCTATTCAGAATATGTTTGGTTGGGAAAAAATCCAGGTTCTCACACATTAAGAATTTTATGTTAAGAATGTCATGTTAAAGAATTTTTTCTCCTTACTACAGAAGAAATCAAAAGTAATTAACATTTTATAGCTGCAAACAAATTTTTCTCCAACACTGTTTTAATAAATAATTCACTACACACTAAGTTGACCTTAGTTCTTCTCTTTTGAAATATCTAGTAATAAAATCTGTGCAGTATCCATTAACAAGTTACTTTAAAATATGGTGTTATCTTACCAGTATCATTAGCTGTGTTGTTTCTGGATGGTAAAAAATTCTGCATGCTCCTACTGCTTTCTTAAAATCTTTATGCGCATTTTCATTAGCACACCTAGAGAAAAATTAATTCATGTGTAAGACTTCAATAACAGGTTAAATTTAGAGGAGACTTATAATACGAAGTCAGTGTTTCATTTTGACATCCCCCATTAAAACCTTTGTTCATTAAGAAGATTTTCCATCAAAAGGTTTTGATTGGGCATTTGGGAAAATGTTTTGTGGCAATGAAAAATCCTCTTAATTCACAAAACAATTCAACAATAAATAAAATTACTCACGCCTCTCTCAAATCCTCAGGTACATCCACTGTGCATTTAAAGAAGGTATTTTTTTTGACAGTTTTATTTTGATTGACAGGTCGAAGTCGTTCAAATGTGACTATTTCATTGTAAGTAGCATCACAAGCAGCATATTCAATGACATAAAACTAAAAGACATCAAAATACTTTAAAAATCCCATATGAACAAAAATAATGAAGTTTAAATGAAGTTCTAATTACCTTGCTCAGCTTAACCAATGGACCCACCCCCATGTGGCACAAACACTAAGCACAGCTTAGCTACATCAATCTCATTTGCCTAAACTAGATGATAGGTTCTTACAAGCATGAACCTTAGTGATCCTGACATGCTTGAGGTGTACCTCTGGAGTGCGGCTTTGGTGTTTGCCAATACAGAACACAACAGAAATTAATGCTAATGAACTTCCGAAATGTTTGATCAACTATTTCTCAGGCAGGCTTTTAGAAATAAAACTGACAGTACAAAAAACATTTACAAAAACCAAGCACTGAGGCATCGCCTTAGAAACTAGTCGCAAAGCAAGTGTGAAGATTACTTACTTCTCCTTTCATCATCCGAACTTTAGCCAACCACCACCCACATGGCTCTTGGTCATTTGCTCTTGAATATACCTGAGAAGAAAAAAAAAATGCCTATATCCATTTATCCCAAAAGATTTCAATGCTGTCAACAATGACTTATTATAAATGTCTAATCCCATTAACCTTAAGAATCAAAATGCTATTTTAAATTGGTATATTAAATGCAACACAATAAAAGTGATAGCTACACTTAAATTTAGTACTTAAAAATAAAACTATACTTTTTTCCGCAATTTAGCTTCTTGGAAATTAATTCCATATTCATGAGGTTTACTAAACATAAGCATTTTAAAGAAATGCTCTTAAAAAGGAGTTTTAGAGTTTTAAATAATGTATAACATAGGTCTTCCTGTTTGTCAACATTGTTAATATTATTATTCTCAGAAAGTGATTAACCTAATTTTTAAATTCCATCAGGGATATGACACTTAGATCCCTTGCTAAAGAACCTAAAGTACATGTACTAAACTTGTTTAACAAAAAAACTACACACATTCAGTCCATCTAGCAGAGCACACTAGTACCTTACAAAACTCCTATTCAGTCCAGGCGCTGTGGCTCACGCCTGTAATCCCAGAACTTTGGGAGGCCAAGGTGGGTGGATCACCTGAGATCAGGAGCTCGAGACCAGCCTGATCAACATGGTAAAACCCTGTCTCTATTAAAATACAAAAATTAGCCGGACATGGTGGCAGGCGTCTATAATCTCAGCTACTCGGGAGGAGGCGGCAGGACAATCACTTGAACTCAGGGGACACGCCACTGCACTCCAGCCTGGGCAACTAGAGAGAAACTCCATTTCAAAACAACAACAAACTCCTATCCATAAAAAAATTAGTCTTATATTCTTTATAAATATCAGTTTTATTAACATAATAGATCACAGAAGTTTTCACTTGGGATTCTAGTTATTTCTTATGATACAACAGAGCTTAATGTATATTTTCAATATATGGAAAGGTAGAAAAGGGGGGCTGAGAAGAAACAAGTTAAGAACCAATAAAAACCATGAATGATTGCCCTCAAAGAGATGGCCAGGGAAACCTATCAGTGGGTGTTAACAGCCATCTGGGAGACAAAGGTAAACAACTAAAGACAAAAAGTTTTAGGAAGCCGGAAGCTTCTATCCGGGTGATTTGAGAGTAATCTCAGAAGTGGTAGGAATACTGAAACTGGAAATGAATAAACCAAAGCCTACTAATAAACTTTATTGTACACCGTGATTAGAAAAAAGCTGTGAGAAGAGCAGCAAGTCCAATATACCAATCAGGATCCATTTAACTCAATTTAGCTTTTCCGTTTCTTTTATCAACAGATCTAACTATTCAAAGGGATCGGTATCTCATGACTTTATTCTTCCTTAGACATACACAAAAGACAAGAAAGTTTACTTTTTTAAGACTAGAATAAAACTCACCCTTATTCTGCAATTATTTTATGTATCCACTGGGCCCTTTTATAAATGTAAGGTAGAATCTAGTGATCTTATTTTTCCTATATCTTGAAACATTTTACTATTTCATCAACATTCATCAGTTATTCTCAGCTATATTTTAAACAAAGACTAAAATGGAACAGAGGAGTGACGGCATCACCTAGAAGGACACAACAGTGAAATAAATTGTTAACGCTGTGTCATCATACAGTTTCCTTACTGTATAGCCCAAGGTATCACATCTCTTTCAAAGAAGTTCAAAAAGACTGAAGACGCCATCCTTGTAGTCTGCTTGTAGCTACCGCTGACCAGTTGAGAATTATGAATTTATTTTTCACTCGTAATTGCAAAGAGAAGATAATTTACAGAGCAATGCCTTTCTAATTATTAAAGAGGTATCAGACAACAGATTCAAAAAGATAGCCGCACACTTGATTCCATTGATAAATGTGAAATTATCTTACAAAGCGAAATCTCAGATTATGAAGTCTTCAGATAGTAACATCCTAGACGAATGTTCTCAAACCACGTATTTCTAAGGAGAAGAGGCAAAGATGATGTCTATTCTCATCCAGTTAATCACTCAACTGAGACTCCATCATGCAAAATCCTCCAACAAGAACCCAGATCATTCTGGTTTTCTAAAATGGTTTATGACAGTATTCTTCCATCTTTTTAAGATGTTTGTGGTCAGGCATGGTGGCTTACACCTGTAATCCCAACACTATGGGAGGCCAAAGCAGGTGGACTGCTTGAACTCAGGAGTTCAAGACCAGCCTGGACAACATGACACAACCCTGTCTCTACCAAAAATACAAAAGAAATTAGTCAGGCATGGTAGCACAACAGTGGTCCCAGCTACATGGAAGCCTAAGGTGGGAGTATCACTGGAGCCCAGGAAGTTCAGAAGGCAGTGAGCCAAGACTGAACCGCTACTCTCAAGCCTGAGTGACAGAGCAAGACCCTGTCCGAAAAAAAAAAGTAAAATAAAAAAGTTTTTAAAAATATGTTTGTGTGCCAAAATTTACTTCATTTAAGTGGAAATGTCAAAGGCAGATGTGTATACAAAGGTAACTGCAAAAGATAATGAAATGCAAATATATTCATTAATCAATTCAACTGACTAAATATGCCAAAATCACAGCACAAAGATGGCTATCCCTTCTTTCATAGAATGAAATGCCAGTAAAAGTTCCAAGTATTCAAGAACTACATTCTGATTATCCAAGTGTAAGAATAACCACAAGTAATGACAAACTGGAATTTATTAGAGATATTTTAAATCTGGTATCAATATGTATAAAATGGGTATGATCTAGGTTCATGTTTAACGGTTACTGAGCAGTTAAGTTACATTTAGAGAACTGCATTTATTGCAGATACATGTATCATCAAAACCTGGAAAATATGAAAAAGTTGGATTTGCCATATTTAAACTCTGACTAAAATGTGTAATAAGGCCATGCATGGTAACTCTCACCTGTAATCCCTGTACTCCGGGAGGCCAAGGTGGGCACATCACTTGAGCACCAGAGTTCAAGACCAGCCTGGTGAAAACCCATCACTACGTAAAAGGCAAAAATTAACCAGGCATGGTGGCATGTGCCTGTAATCCCAGCTACCCCAAGTGGAAAGATCACTTGAGCCCAGAAGGTTGAGGCTACAGTGAGTTGTGTTCACTCCACTGTACTCCTGCATGCAGTCTAATAATGGCCAGGAACAGTGGCTCATGCCTGTAATACCAGCGCTTTCGGAGGCCAAGGCAGGAGGATTGCTTGAGCCCAGGAATTTGAGACCAACCTGGGCAACACAGGGAGATCCCATATCTATAAAAAAAATTTTTTTAATTGGCCAGATGTGGTGATGCATGCCTCTAGTCCCAGCTACTTGGGAGGCTGAGGCAGAAGGATCACTTGAGACTAGGAGGTTGAGGCTGCAGAGAGCCATGATCATACCACTGTACAGAAAAAGAATATGCTAACAATCAAAAGAAAGTGCCCATTCGAAGCACTATCTTAAGAGAGGCAGCTCATCCAAGCAGACTGGAATATCTCTTGCTAATCTGTGGGTACATCAAGCCTGATCTGCTGAAAAGGTTATGCCTTTAAAACTACCTAGACCCCTTATTCTATTTTCACTAAAGCATAACCATCCATTAACTTGGCTTCCTAAATAAAGCATTCTTAACTGCCTGGAGGCTTTTCTAACTAAACAATGAAATGCTGAATTCAGTTTTAAACTTAATTTCCATTTCTGTAAGCTTCATTAATAACCTCACCCCAAAAAGACCAAGTTACTTTCACAAAGTGACTAAATATAAATGCCTGAATTAAAACACTACAAATTTGGCCACGCACGGTGGCTAGCACCTGTAATCCGAGCACTTTGGACGACCGAGGCGGGCGGATCACCTGAGGTCAGGAATTCGAGACCAGCCTGGCCAACATGGCGAAACCCTGTCTCTACTAAAAATACAAAAATTAGCTGGGCATGGTGGTGCGTAACAGATATAAAAATCTGTTATATATATATTGTTTTTCTCCCCAGGCAGTTTTTTAATGCCTTCTGAATTATCACTTTATAATTCTGTTAACACGCTGGAGGTTATCTTTTTCATACTTTCAGTGACTGTATTGTATTGTTCATATGTACAGTTTTGTAAACGTGGTGGATGGAAGCTGATGTCTCCTGAATTCTCATTTCCTTAATAGTAATACGAGTACATCATTTATATTAGTTTATTGGCTCTTCATCCTTTGTTCTGTGAATTGTCTATTTTTTGTTTGTGTAGCTTACGGTGTAGGAAATCCTTGTGTTTTATGGCTATTTCGGTTTTTTTTCTTGAGATGGAGTCTTACTGTTGTCCAGGCTGGATTGGCATGACCTCATCTCAGTGCAACCTCTGCCTCCTGGGTTCAAGCAATTCTCCTGCCTCAGCTTCCCAGGTAGCTGCGATTGTAAGTGTCCACCACCACACCTGGCTAATTTTTTTTTTTTTTTTTAAGTGGAGATGGGGTTTCACCATGTTGACCAGGCTGGTCTCAATCTCCCGACCTCAGGTGATCTACCCGCCTCAGCCTCCCAAAGTGCTGGGATTACAGGTGTGAGCTACCGCACCCAGAAGGCATTTCTGGAGGATGAACTGGTACATTTTAGTACTTTTGAAAATGTAAATATCTTGCCTTTTGATTCTGCAACTGAACCTCTTAAAACATATAATACTACCAGAAGATTTACATAAACTGATTAACTTTAACTCTGGTATTGTTTTCTTTTGTTAATAGCAACAATTTTTGGTAATAATTTCAACAGCTTTTAATTTGATATATCCACACCAAGTAATTTTGAGGTGGTTACAAAAAAATGAGGTAAATTTAAAATAAGGAAAAGGAGAAAAAAACAAAAAACAAAAAAAAAAAGATTGAGAAGACATCAAAATGTCTGCTATCCTAATTAACTGAATACAAAAATCACAAATATATAACTCAATCCCATTTTATCAACTTAAATACTTCCTTTACACATGCAAACAAAAAACTCAGAGGAGACAATCAATTCTGGTGAGATTTAAGTTAGGGATGGTGGGCAAGCACACCTGCATTAAGAGGGACACACTTTATATAATTTTTACATTAAGCACTTTATTACTTTGAATGAGGGAGGCGGCTTTCAAAACGTTACCTGTTAAAGTACTAACTCGAGAGTTTCTAAACATTCTAGGTACTATGAATAGATCCTTAATAAATGGTGGCAAAAGAAACAAAATTCTATGGGTGGCAAGATTACACTTAAACTTTTTCCTTATATGAATTTTCAAATTTTTCAAAAGTGAAAAAACTATGACATCTTCATTTCAGATGACTTACAAAATTCTAGAGAGCAAATTTTCAGTGATGGGCAGCTATTTTAAATTTTAAAATAAAAAGAAAAAAGCAAATTTCACCAGAGCTGAATCACAAAACATACTATGAAATTTTTTTCTTAATTCTGGATTCGATTTCTCAATCATTCAATCTCTAGCATCAATGTCTTATTTACAGAAGGGGAGGCAGGCCACAGGGGTGAGCCAGAGACTGTTCAGGAACAAGGCAGGAACTTCCTGGACAGGAATGGAAAAAGTACACTGTTAACACCCTCAGCACTCCACTAAGAGTAGTTTTCCCTTTAATCTGAGACTTCACGCTACCAATTTTGTGTCTGAACGTGAACATCAAAAAAGTCTAAGAAGCACTACTACCAAAACTGACTGCCACACATTTCTAATTCTGGTACATGTCCAAACCTACATCATTCCTTGCTTGACCTAACTTCTGCTTATTCAGTATCTAAAAAACACTGCACCACCAATTTTGAAAAATGAAAATGAATCAAGCCCCTTTCATCCTCACAGAAAACTATCAGAGCTACAACACTGAGAAACACATTTTCAATAAAATCTAAAGTCCAAATGAAGAGAGTAATCAGCAGCATCAATCACTGCCACACATAGCACCACCCAGGACCCCACTTGACACTCCCTGATTTGCAGCAGTCACTTCACCACTGTTCCTCGTGCCTCCCCCACCACACATCAGTAACATTTTCCTCAAGAACTCTAATACAACAGCCAGACTACAGAACAGGTATTCTTACAAAAAGTTATTTAACTTATTGCCATCTTTCTGCCTGGATTTTGACTATGTGCACTAAGTTCACTGTGTACTATTTTGCTTTTGCGAAAGCAAAGTGATAAACTACGTGAGGGTGCCAAGAGCCAGGCCCTGCATGAATGAGTAAAGCACTCACTTTACTCACTCTTTTATCTTTGACTTCCACAGAAGTGGGTACACCAAGTTAAGGTTAACAGGGGTTTAAATGCTGCAATTATTTTACTTCCCAGCATATGATCTTAATGAGAACTCAAAGAAAATTTATCATTAAAAAAAATCAGGCCAGGTGAGGTGGTTCACGCCTATAATCCCAGCACTTTGGTAGGCCACAGTGGGCAGATCACCTGACGTCAGAAGCGCAAGACAAGCCTAGCCAACAGGTGAAACCCTGCCTCTATTAAAAGAAAACATTTGCTGGGCATGGTGGTGGGTACCTGTAATCCCAGCTACTCAGGACGCTGAGGCAGGGGAATCGCTTGAACCTGGAAGGAGGAGATTGCAGCGAATTGAGATCGCTCCACTGCACTCCAGCCTGGGTGACAGAGCAAGACTCCATTGCAAAAAAAATAAATAAATAAAATAAAATTGGCAGATAACCAAATCACCTGCAGTGCTTAGTACAGTATATGCATGTTTAAAACTTTTGTAAATCGTCAAGTGTGGTGGCTCACACCTGTAATTCCAGCACTTTGGGAGGCTAAAGCAGGCAGATCACCCGAGGTCATGAGTTTGAGACCAGCCTGGGCAATATTGTGAAACCCCATTTCTACTAAAAATACAAAAATTAGGCCGGGCTCAGTGGCTCACGCCTGTAATCCCAGCACTTTGGGAGGCCGAGGCGGGTGGATCACGAGGTCAAGAGATCGAGACCATCCTGGTCAACATGGTGAAACCCCACCTCTACTAAAAATACAAAAAATTAGCTGGGCATGGTGGCGCATGCCTGTAGTCCCAGCTACTCAGGAGGCTGAGGCAGGAGAATTGCTTAAACCCAGGAGGCGGAGGTTGCGGTGAACCAAGATCGAGCCATTGCACTCTAGCCTGGGTAATAAGAGTGAAACTCCATCTCAAAAAAAAAAAAAATTAGCCAGGCATGGTGGTGCATGTCTGTAATGCCAGCTACTTGGGAGGCTGAGGCAGGTGAATTGCTTCAACCCAGGAGGCAGAGGTTGCAGTGAGCCAAGATCGTACCACTGCACTCCAGCCTGGGAGACGAGGGAAACTCCGTCTCAAAAATAAATAAATAAAATGTTTGTACGGTCAAGAGCGGCTGCTCACGTCCGTAATCCCAGCAATTTGGGTACATGCCTTTAGTCCCAGGTACTTGGGAGGCTGAGGCAGGAGAATGGCTTGAACTTGGGAGGTGGAGGCTGCAATGAGCCAGGATATCACACTACTGCATTCCAGCCTGGGTGACAGAGTAAGACTCCATCTCAAAAAAAAAAAAAAAACTATGCAACAATCCTGCGTGATCTCCGCCAAAAAAAAAAGAAAAACTCCATAAAAAAAAAAAAAAAAAAACCAGGAAAAATAAAGTTTGTAAAAACACTGAGATAGGTATTTCATCAGTCAAGTTCTCCTATCCCAATTCCCATAACCCACCATAAGTATAGCAGGTACAATTGAAACTTAAAATCTTTTAATACGATCAAGCAACTTTCAGTGAGAAATATGTTTAAGAAATTTGAGCACAGTGGCGGGGCATGGTGGCTCACTTTGGGAGGCAGAGGTGGGCGGATCACCTGAGGTCAGGAGTTCAAGACCAGCCTGGCCACCACGGTGAAACCCCATCTTAAAAAAAAAAGAAATTTGAGCACAAAGGAGGAATGGTATCCGTTTCTTAAAACTTGAAAAGAAATTTTATATTCATCAAATCACCATTGCGGTTCTATTTGAAAATTATTTCCAGGTTTCTTGTTATATAACCACAAATAATAACATGGAAAAGGCAGACATCCAAGATCTACTAAGTGTGGAAAAAAAGAAAAGCAAGATACAAAGAAGCAGTATGACATGATCCCATTTTTATTCTGAGAGGTGGGTGGGGGGAGACACACAGACACACAGACACACACACACCTGGAAGAACATGCACAACATGAACAGTGTTTTATTAATCTCTGAGGGGTGACTTTTCCTTCCCTCATCCTTTACTACTTTTATTTTTTTGCTTTTCTGTACTTTTAAGGTTTTCCTCAGACATTTCTATAATATTCTACAAGGCAAAAAGCTAGTTACAGTATTTCACATTGTTACATACGAACTCTGTTAATGATCACTATAGTAAAGTAACTGTCATTTCATAAAGACACCCAGGCAAATCATAAGACAAATTATTTAAAGTAAATAGGAAAAAGAAAGAAAAGAATAACACCATAGCACATAGTGTTCTATGCCAGGTGCAGCCTGGGAGCGGTGGCTCACGCCTCTAATACTAGCACTTTGGGAGGTTGAGGCAGGTGGATCACCTGAGGTCAGAAGTTTGAGACCAGCCTGACCAACATGGAGAAACACGTCTCTACTAAAAAATACAAAATTAGCAAGGCGAGGTGGTGTGCATCTGTAATCCCAGCTACTCAGGAGAGTGAGGCAGGAGAATCACTTGAACTCAGGAGGTGGAGGTTGTGGTGAGATGATATTGCACCATTGCACTCCGGCCTGGGCAACAAGAGCAAAACTCTGTCTCAAAAAAAAAAAAAATTCAAATGTACTATCATCCATGACTTCCAAATTATAATGATAAAAGTCTACAAAGCTAACAATGGGACAGGTGAGATCTATTCTGACTCCAAATTCAAGCACTGCTAGATTAGGCAGCCATTACCACCAACAGAAAGAACAGAGAAAAGGAATTAGCTTTATCCTCCATCAGCTATGCTAATTTACCTAAAAGAATATTTGAATACAAAAAATAGACACCACAAGAAAATAAAACTTAAAAATACATACCTCTACTTCATCTCCTTCACTAATTTCTTTTTTTATATCAGGTGGTGGTGGTAATCTAACTTCATTAAATGGAACCTGGCGTTCTGGCTGCCAACTGAAGGATTAGAAAAGGTGTATTAACAATTTAAAAATATACAGTTTATGACTGGCGCTGCGTATTTTTTCAAGTCAGTTTACCACTTAGCTTTTCCTAAAGAGAAGAAAAACAACCTTCATACTATTAATATAATTTCCCAAGTAATTAGTTACTGAAGTAGAACAGATTTTGTATGACTCTTGATGAGGTTCATAAATAATTAACATAATTGTTAGTAACTGTACATTACCTCCCAAATTACTCATCTTAAGAGCAGTACACACATTCTCCCAAATTATTCATCCTAAGAGCAGTACATACATTATTCTGCAAATGAAATAAGTTCATAATGATGACTAACTTCAAATCAAACTGTCAAATCGACACAGCTGCCCAATAAATAGTAGTGAGATCAACTTATTTCAAATACTTTTACAACTATATGACCTATCAATAAAGGAAACACAATTTCATAGATTACAAAACAATATAAACTGTGTAACTCTTTTTAATATACATGTTCACCGAAACACAGAAAATAATCCGCAATTATTTTGAATATCTGAATTACAAAAGATTACTTTTCTCACGTTCCATTAATCTTTCCTACAGTGGATACACACATTATAATTAGAACCTACAAAAAGCCTACTTTTAACTCTGTAGCAAATATGAATGTATTAAATCACTAACTTAGCAGTTAACTGACATTTATGTTGTATTTTAAAAGCTGAATTTATAAAGTTAAAAATTCTTCCCTACTCTAATATGTCACAGGTCATTTACACGTCTGGGAATTATACTATGACATAAAATGTCTCTCGAGTTTCTATCTGCCAAGGCTAGTAGCAAAGTAGCAGCTGACAAAAGATTTGGGGATGCTTTCTTTTCATCATTACTTTCCACATGGCAGCTGCTCAAAGAAATCATCTCAACCCTTGTTTCTACATGAAGCAGCTGTTAGGCAAAGACCTTTTCAGGCAATTCCACAAACAGCTTAAAAGTAAAAGCTGAACAGTTTTTTTCTGACCATCAATTAAACGGTTTATTGCTGTTTTTTTTTTCTTTTTTTGAGGCATAGTTCACTCTTGTTGCCCAGGCTGGATGCAATGGCGCAGTCTCGGCTCATTGCAACCCCCATCTCCCGGGTTCTTGCGATTCTCCTGCCTCAGCCTCCTAGGTAATTGGGATTACAGGCACCCATCACCAAGCCTGGCTAAGTTTTTTGTATTTTTAGTAGAGACAGGGTTTCACCATGTTGAGCATGCTATCTCAAACTCCTGATCTCAGGTGATTTGCCTGCCTCAGCCTCCCAAAATGCTGGGATTACAGGTGTGAGCCACGAAACCCAGCCCAGTGCTCTTTCATAACCCCTTCCTAACCAAGCCCAACATACTGTCTTCCCCATGTTTAGGCTGCATACTCCTCAAGCAATTAAAGATGGCTTAATACTTATTCTGACGACCAGCAGTCAACTGGAAAACCTTCTGCAACATCATTTGAACATTCTGGGCTTTTAAGTATTAAGCATATTATCATCTAATTTGTGCCACTGATTCATATCCATAAATGTGCTGGCAAAGAGAGTTATGAAAAAAGTAACAAGTAAATTATGGACAGAAAAACAGGTAAAGTTATCGAAACTAGACTTAAGATCAACCAACCAACCCTCCCCCCCCCACACACACACACCCACCCTCCAAAAGCAAAATCATTTTTCCACTGGCAGCAGGAACACCCAAAAACAGTTTGGCACTGCCAATCTCTGAAATTAACATCTTTGCCAACAAAAATAACTTACTTATTTTCAAAAACAACTGTAAGAGAGTCTTCATGAACATCTTTGATAAATCCCTGCAAAACACAAAAACATTATTAAAAACATTATCAATATTAGGCACTTCGTAACTCTACAAGGCTGTATTCAAGATACAAAGACGGCACGGAATACTGAAAGGATACAGGGTTTGGAATTAGGCAGATGTGACTTTGACTTCCATCTTTACCATTTATGACATATATGATCTTTCAAGTTACATAACCTCTCTGAACCTCATTTTTCACCTGGTGTCATCTACCTGGAATTAGCTAAAGTAAATGTGCATCGCTGGAATATCTCAGGTATTAGTTCAGCAAGACAGTTATTTAGCATTGTGACTAAGAGTTCACTATTTACTACTGTGCCAAAGAGTTCAAGCTCTGGAGTACTGGTTCCCAGGACTTATAACCAAGCCCTGTTACTTGTATATTCCTGAATATAGTTTTGACCTAATGAAATTAATTACAGTATCATACACCTAATGAAAAATTATGAGAACTAAATGAAGTAATATTTAGCACAGTACCTGGCACAAATAAAGAATTTAATTTTGTTAGAAGTGCTATCGGCCAGGCATGGCGGCTCACGCCTGTAATCCCAACACTTTGGGAGGCCGAGGTGCGTGGATCACAAGGTCAAGAGATCGAGACCATCCTGGTCAACAAGGTGAAACCCCATCTCTACTAAAAATACAAACATTAGCTGAGTATGGTGGCGCACGCCTGTAGTCCCAGCTACTCGGGAGGCTGAGGCAAGAGAATTGCTTGAACCCAGGAGGCGGAGGTTGTGGTGAGCCAAGATCGTGCCATTGCACTAGAGCCTGGGCAACAGAGCAAGACTCCATCTCAAAAAAAAAACAAAAAAAAAGTGCTATCAACATTACAGTCCACCTTCAGTAAAATGCATGACTAGATTTTGAATACTACCTTTGCCATTAACGTAATCTTATTTTTCCTAGATACTTCTCTTCTTCCCTTAAAAGAAAACTGGGCTATAGTGAGTACATTGTTCACAACTATGACAGAATGAATACAGTCTCAATAACAACTGGTTGTCATTTATCAGCCTTAAAATTAATATTAAAATTAGCCTTTGTACTCTTCCTTCCTTTGATTAATACAGCTGAAATAAACCATTAAGGTCTGACATAAGAGCGAGCAACGACTTGAGTGTAGAATTGTTGTTGCTGAAATCCTGATTCCACTACTATGTAACCTTAGGCAAGCTGTCCCTTGGCACTTGTATAATTACCATTAACATTAAATGACTTTGTATTACCATGAATCAGAGCTGCAGATTACTCAATGTTAATCAAATGCTTATGCACACTCAACCACTGGGTACATAGGAAATACTTTTCTGAAACATCTTTATCACACTAGACTCCATAATGTCCACAGCAAACTAGCGACATAAACACATGTATGCAGTATCTGATCAAAGCATGGCAAAAATGAGCACATCTGTTTATCTCACTCCTTCCCAAAAGTCCATTAGGTAACACTAAAGACGTTTGAATAAACCCAAAAGAAAGAGAATAAAGGGAAAAGACAAACTTGCAACAACAACAAAAGAAATTTTTTTTGAAACTTACACAGTATATGGAAGATTAACAGTAATAAAAAAACGAAGCTTTGGGAGGCCAAGGAGGGCGGATCACCTGAGGTCAGGAGTTTGAGACTAGCCTGAACAACATGGAGAAACCTTGTGTTCACTAACGATACAAAAAATTAGCCAAGCATGGTGGCGCATGTCTATAATCCCAGCTACTCGGAAGGCTAAGGCAAGAGAATCACTTGAACCCGAGAGGCGGAGGGTGCAGTGAGCCGAGACCACGCCACTGCACTCCAACTTTGGCAACAAGAGCAAAACTCCATCTCTCTCTCTCTCTCTCTCTCTCTCTCTCTCTCTCTCTCACACACACACACACACACACACACACACACACACACGACTGCTATAGTGCTCTGTCTTGCAATTCTGGATATTAATTAATCCTCCCTAAATTTAAATATAAGAGTTGCCACTCTAGTTCAGGCTCTGATTATCCCACCATGCTATACTGATGACTTTCTGGCCAGTTTCTCTATTTCTAGTAGGGCACAGTCACCCTATTTATTTACCTACCTACCTACCTACCTTTTTCTAGTAGGGCACACTCTTATTGATTGATTGATTGACTGACTGAGACAGAGTCTCATGCTGCTGCCCAGGCTGGAATGCAGTGGTGCGATCTTGGCCTCCTGCCTCAGCCTCCTGAGTAGCTGGGAGTACACCAACCACACCCAGCTAATTTTCTGTATTTTTAGTAGATACGGCGGTTTCGTCATGTTGGCCAGGCTGGTCTCAAACTCCAGAACTTAGGTGATCCACCCACCTGGGCTTCTCAAAGTGCTGGGATTACAGGCGTGAGCCACCACACCTGGCCCACATTCACTTTCTTTCAACAATCACTCTGGTCAGCGCATTCACCATTACATTACCAGCAAATATATCTATATTATACCCTTGCCATTTTTTAACAAATTTCAGAAACTGAGAATGTCCATCTTTATGATTAGTAAAGCATCAGAAGACAGCCATATTTTCAACTTCCACTAACATTTTCTAATTCTTCAACAAACTCACACAAAGTTTGAAGAGTCTCACAAACTAATCTTTCTAGTTTCTGTATAAATCATATATAGTGGATTAGTTCAAATCAGAACTCTAAGCCACTATAAAATTTCACTCTGTTCTCAACTTTATAATTTTCCCTCACTCTCCTTTGTAATAAGATTCTTTTTTTCTATCTAAAAATCAGCACTCTACTTTTCTTTCCCCTGAACACCAGCATCAACTTTGCGTGCACATTTTTCACAAAGTTTGGAACATAGCTCTGTACACATCTACTCTTTTTTCTTTTTTTTTTTTTTTCCCCCCTGAGATGGATTCTTGCTCTGTCACCAGGCTAGAGTGCAGTGGCGCCACCTCGGCTCACTGCAACAACTCCCTGGTTGAAGCAATTCTCCTGCCTCAGCCTCCTGAGTAGCTAGTATTATAGGCCCACGCCACCACATCCAGTTAATTCTTGTATTTTTAGTAGAGATGGCGTTTCACCATGTTGGCCAGGCTGGTCTCAAACTCCTGACCTCATGATCCGCCTGCCTTGGCCTCCCAAAGTGCTGGGATTACAGGTGTGAGCCACCGTACCAGGCCCCTTTGCACATCTACTTTTATTGCCAGCGTCATTCCGCCATGAGATTTACTAGATTAAGGCCTGAAACCTAGTCCTTAAAATTTATTTGGACTTTGGTGAAGAATTTTTAATGTCCTACTCCATAAAATGTAATCCCTGATTCCTAAATGTTAGACAGACATGCTTCTAATGGCCAGATTTCTGTAAAATTGAGTCCACTTGATACAGGACACAGTCAATACTTTTAAATGTATTTTTGTACTCTCCAAGTCACCAGAATGATGCTAGGTCCCCTTACCTGCTCAAAAGACCCAAATTGACAGGGTTGGATCTTTACCAAAATCTGACAGGAGACACCAGTAACAGCCACATTTGTCTGAACATGGCAGGGGCTTTATGCCTGAAAGTCTCCGTAACTTCCATCCTCAGTCCCCGTCTCTCTTCTGATTCATACTTACCTGGCCCAGGCCACATATTTCTCAAAACAAAGCCTTTGACATTTCTTTTTTTTCTTCCCATACATATGTAGACATGGAAGATTTCAAGGCAGCCTTATTAAATGGTCACCTATCTTGTTCACTCACACGGTCCAACATGTGTTTACATTTGAAACTCTTAACTATAAGATAATCATTAATAAATAGGCAGTATAACACATCTCAAGTGTATTCAAACGTTCACAGCTTGCTGCAGATAAACGGAAAAAAAACCTTAAAATGTACCCATAACTCTGACAAAACAACAAATAGGCATCATATAATAAAAAACCAGAAATGCAGGGCCAGGCGCAGTGGCTCACGCCTATAATCCCACCACTTTGGGAGGCCGAGGCGGGTGGATCACGAGGTTAAGAGATTGGGACCGTCCTGGTCAACATGGTGAAACCCCACCTCTACTAAAAAGACAAAAAATTAGCTGGGCATGGTGGCGCGTGCCTGTAAACCCAGCTACTCGGGAGGCTGAGGTAGGAGAACTGCCTGAACCCAGGAGGCGGAGGTTGTGGTGAGCCGAGATCACGCCATTGCACTCCAGCCTGGGTAACAAGAGCGAAACTCCGTCTCAAAAAA